AACTTTGTACTTAACAAGATTAAGGAAACAAAAACAAACTTTTTCTTTTATCTAAAAAACGAAATAACTTCTATCTAACCTTTGGTTATTATTTAGCGCGACAAGTCGACAACTCACGAACACGAAAGAAGTTTCGGTTTTAGTAGTAGTTTCGGCCGGTTCGCTGTCAAAACCGAAACTAAAACGAAACTCCAATTTTGTCCCGAAACTGGCCGAAACCGAAACCAAAACCGAACCTTCGGTCGGACACTACTGCGTAGTTCCAATGTGTATCACCCGTGGACATACGCTAGTTTACGGGGCGAAAAGTGATTACACATTCTCTTATGGACCTGGCCGCTCTTAGACTTCTCTCTGTCTATATATACACACACATACATATTGTTCTAATAATAATAAATATTACATAAAAAATTTTATTTTTACACTTTTATTGCAACTATTTATAAAGAGTAAATTTGTGACAGTGACTTGTAAAAGATATAATTTTTATTTAATTCTAGAGAATATACGTCAGAATATATAGAAAGCTTAATTTTTACTAACTTTCATACAAATAAAAAAACTATATTATTTGTAATTCTAAATTACAAATTATACGTCGAAAAAATTTAGGATCCGACTACATATGCAACAACCGTTGCGTGATCTAGCTTGCCAGGTATCATAGATATCTTCTCTAATGTCTTTTTCCTTCGGGATCTTTGTTCTTGCTTTGAAAGCTGTATTAATTGACCATCTTTCTGTTGTGCATAATACAATTCCGTATCTTCTAAAATTCGTCTCTTCGCAGCAGTTATGCGCACCTATAAAGACAATTGAGTTCAATATTACAGAAACTATTGTTTTTTTTTTTTAGCAATTGTGAGATAAAATGTACACTTACTGCGAAGTCTAAAAGAAGTTCACAGAGATGTTTGGCACTATTGCACGGTGGCCCTTCTCCAGAAACTCCACGTCTCAATAAATCTTCCATCCTGAGCAATGTAAGTTCATGTCTTTGATAAGCTTCAACTATAGGCAGGTTGTTGCTATTCCCGTTACTGTTACTCGATTCTGTATGTCGCAAATTTTCTACAGATCTTCGACGAGTTCTCGATCTCGCATCATGACTTTGCCGCGTGGCGTCAGCGCCACTGCTATGATTGGGTAAAACTGCAAATTTTCCGACCACAGGATCGAAGTTATCCGAAATTCCATCACTTGTCAAAAATACTATATCGCCTCTTTCGACTTCCGTTATAGCCAGCGTTAAGTTATTCAATTCAGGATTAGAGCCGTCTACTGGACCTAGAGCTCCTAAGGCATCTCGCATGTCTCGCATGCAGTGAATGTCATGAGATCCTCGTGTTATCTCTCTCACACCAGTTTTCCTGTTTTGTTTTTAGATAAGAAATTGATTATTGAACAGATCTAGCTTGTTATTGTGCAACAGTTAATGTTTTAATATATACATATACATTTATGCATAATATACAAAATATATCTGATATATATATATATATATATATATATATATGTATACTTTGAATATACATAAGCCAAACTATATATATATATATATATATATATTTATATGTATGCATAATACACAAAATAATCTTGTATGTACCTCGAATATACATAAGCCAAACTATCACCAACATTGCAGGTACAAGCAATATATTTTTTCTGGCATATATTTGTATCAGTATTTGAACTTGGCAGTGGAAGGACTGTGCATACTGTTAAAGTAGTAAGCATTCCTTGTTCCTGAAGAATTAAAGAATGTGCTGCATGGAATGATCGTAGTAACGCAATAAATACATCTTTTGTTGTCGTCATTTCACTATTTATAGATGGACAGAATAGTGCTCGATTCAAATATTCAATACTTCCATGGACCGCAGATCTGGCTGCTATACTTGCTTTTGTACCTTTTGAAAAAAAAAACTCAATCTAAGTATATTTTGTACAACATTAAAACAAAATTGGTTATGTTCTTACCCCAATTAACACCATCTGCAAGAGCTAATATAGCGGAGTTTGGTCTTGCTACAATACCAAAGCAATCAGCTATTGGTTCTCCATTATTAGTATCGTTTATAGGATTTTTCTCATACAATGTAGTTGCAATTCCATATGCATTTTCATGAGGATTGAACCAATCAGTAACTCCGGCAACTGTAACATTTGATGTTGTTGATCCTGAAAAATTTTTTATTGCATTATTTTACTGTACAAAAAACATTTTATTAATGTCGTTATACTAAAACTTACCACTTCTATATTGTTCATTTTGATCTAGCATGTCAATATAATCAATATCAGTATCACTAATACTTAAATGTTTCTGCTGAAGATTAACTGCTGTAAGACCACTATCAGGACCAGTATAAGCTGCAAATATTTCTTCATTTTCTAGAAAATTGTCAAGCTGCCTACTTGGCAATTCTTCTGGATTTCTACCATGCAAAATAGGTGGTCCTTCTTGTTTTGCTTCTAGCCTATAAAAATGTTACATACGTACATATATATATATATATACAGAGTCTCCGTAAAATTTTGACACAGCCGAAGTACGGAGATAGATTGAGTCAAACCGAATATAGAAAAGTTATTTGCTATTTTGCAAAATTCGCAATAGGCAATGAGATACAAAGTAATAAATGTGTGCCAATAAGCGCGTGAGAAGCGTTGGTTCTGACTCTGTAGGCGTGTGCGATTGTCAGCTGATCGCGGAGAGCAGTGGCTTTTTATCCCTCAAGCACTGCTCGCTCCTTTGCGTACCGCCGAATATCGGCTGACCGCGAAATCAGCCGAGTCACACGCCGCACTCGTTTGTTCACTCCGCCTCTCGTTGCTCTGACAGTCACACCTACGCCTACAGAGTCAGGACCAGCGCTTCTCACGCGCTCATTGGCGCACATTTATCACTTTGTATCTCATTAACTGTTGCGAATTTCGCAAAATGGCAAATAACTTTTCCATTCAGTTTGACTCAATCTATCTCCATACTTCGGCTGTGTCAAAATTTTACGGACACCCTGTATATACACATGTATCAACAATATATTAATTAAAAAATAACATTTTAAAATATATATATACAGTTTATTTTTTTATTCATGTTAAATTATTATATTAATTGTATTTTGAATGTTTCAATTTATACCCATTGAGGTAGCGTGTGATGAAACAGCCACCAGGAAAATCCTGAGTTAATGATCGTGGGTTTCTAAGTGGTTGTTCTCCAAGACCTATACTCTCTACAGCTCCAGCTAAGTTGCTAATAGATAGTTGGCGCATGAAACCGGCAACTTTCTTCCGTAAACTTGGCATCTTTCAAAGAAGTCCAAGCAAAGATACAGCAATTGAGAATTTTAATTATTGTCTAACATTATTTCATCTGATGAAAGGCTCATACCATGGTTATAGCTGCCAGCAGCAGGTCTCCAAATAAACCTTAAAATAATATATATATACAATGTAATTATCAGACATATACATTAAATATCAATAAAAGAAAGGAACAAAAATTAAATTGAAATATCCTAAACAGACAATTTTAAATAATTCAAACTTAAATTATTAAAATATTTTTAATATAATAAACTATTTTACATATAACAAAAAATATCTACAAATAAAAAAAAAGCTACTTTTAACTCTTTCTATGTTCAAAATAAAAGTTATGTATTATTTTTGACACTTACTCCAACTTATTGTTAATGTAAGAAAGTTTAATTCCTGTGTGTCTATATAAAAAAAAAGATCAGATAAGTTATATCTTTTTTGAGAAGATACAGAAAATTAATAAATAGATAAGAAATAGCAGTACACTAATTTTTGCGCAATTATTGATATCTCGACTTGTCAAAAGACACGTACGCACTAAACGAGACAACGAGAGAGAGACGAGAGACGTGTGTGTATAAAAATTTACTCTAGAAGTTACAGTTCCGTCAAACCAAGTCGCGCGTCGACAATAAGACAGTTACCTGGGAAAATTCTCACTGAATGGGAATGAGATCATGATGCGTGCTACGCGAGTCTATAGTCTTCCACTTGAGCGCCATATTGGCAATGTGTCAATACATGAACTACCCGTGTTGTGTGTGTACTTGCGAGAGTGAGAAGCGAACCCAAACACAGGCCACTTTTCACGCCGTGTTACACGCGCGACAGCAAATGACCGCGGTCTGTCTCTCGCTTGTGCATACATGGAAATCAGAACGTCGTTCGTAGCACGGCCGCGATTAATATGGGTAATAATGGGGCGTCAACGGATGTCACGTTCGACACGTTCTCGCCGAGGAGGTAACGTTATATACGCGCATATACGTATGTACGTGTCTGGTTTAAAACGGGGTCGAGAAATCGACGCAAATTAGCGCGACAATCTGACGACCGATGTGTGCGTCGCTCTTCCAGTTTTTGGTATACAGCGCGCGCGGGCTAAAATCAGCTGGCGCTTGACAGATTTCGCCTCTTATCACATTCGTTGTACATATGTACGCGCTTGTCGTTTGTCCGACCGCGCTGCTGTGCGCGACTGTACCAAGCTATATGGCTATATGTAGATGGATGTGGAGCGAGCGCGCACCGTGTCGCATGACGACGACGACACGGCTGCGCTCTTTTTTTGGCCTGTTTTGACATTTGGCGAGTCAATATGGCGTTCCCGTCACAGATGAAAGTCCGCAGTTTTTCGCGGTTATTTTAACCAACTCCTCGCTGGTTTCATCTCGAACTTTCCGCGTTACGTTCTCGCGCCCGAGGAGGCTCGGCGCCAAATTTTCTCTGCGCGCGAGTTTCCGCAAGCGAATCCCGCGACCATTCCCCGTGTTGTTTATTCTTGTTTTTAGTGTCCGATCCTTGCGGCAGATAGTGTGTGTTTAGGCAGTGCGTACCGTATATTTCTATACTGCGCGCTGTGTATACGGAATTATTATTACGTAATTGTATTATTTAAAAATCTGTCATCCCTAACGATTGGCCAGAATTATGCTTGCTCATCATACGGCGAGCGTTTTCTGTGTCTGACGAAAAACGCTTTCTCGAGAAAGTGTAAACGTTAGATCGCGCGTTATTCACGTGACGTTTATTTTGACACCTATAGTGGGAGAGAATTTTTTCATATTACACAGCGTAGACGTTAATTAACTTACTTCATATATCTGAAATCTTTATTAAATTTCTTTCCTTTCTCTATTTTTTTCTCGCAAAGTACAAAATCGTGGTAAAATGCTTGCAGATTATTTTTGCACTTTTGTTTCCAAGGTACAATACTATATGAGTATGTGGATGATTGTTAGTGCATTGTAAGAAGTTCGCAAAGTAATACAGGGGGATCGGAAGTTGTTGCTCGGATGACAGCAGAAATATAAGATGTTTGAGTCTCCGAGAAGTCTCCAGGAGGTTTGCCTTGATTTTATCTGTGGTAATGTGCTAGGCTTGTGCGAGGTACATCTTGGCGATACAAGCACACATTCTCCGAGTACTGTCAGTAATAATGTCGCTAATGGTAAGTAAAGCATTAAAACTGACGATATTATATATATTTAGCTGAATTAAAGCAGCATAAGTTTTAGATTAACAAGATATCTGTACACTGAACAGTAATAGCGCAGAAGTTGCTTTTGATACTGCAACAGGTAGAACAACATCTAACGATGCTCCAACAAACTCTGCAACTCGTCTTACCTTTAGGCATCCAGATGCATTCTTGCCAGCTGAAGTATCAGAACAGTTATTATCCAACTTATGTGAGAAGAAAACATTATCGGATTTAACAATTACGCTTTTTGATTCCAAGACCACCAGATTAAGGTGACGAGACTTGATATTACATAAAAGAAAAAATAAGTGGATTTTGTGACGACTATAGTTAATATTTTTTGTTTTTCTAGACATGTAAGGCTGAAAGATGCATCAACATTATCAGCTAAAGGATTAAGCATTCTTAAGCAACACAAAGTTGTAAATTTAATAGTAAATGGACTTAAAATTACTGTTAATGATTTAATTAGCTGTTTAGGTGATTGGAGTATACAAAATCTTAGATCGTTAAGTGTAGCTAAAGGCAGCTTTATGGATTTCTCAAGGTTATTATTGACTTTTGTACATTTGACACTTGCAAATATTATTTCACAATTACAAAAGGTTTTTATAACACAATGTTAACAAGTTTTATTTGTTTCACGTATTTCTGTTATAGACAACGCATGGTAGACATTGCAACGTTAAACAAATTGAAAGCACTTCATACTTTGAACGTCTCAGGAACAGAATTTAATAAACATGGCTTGGATATAGTAGTCGAAGATCTTCCTCTTTTAGAGAACTTAGATATATCTTGTACAAGAGTTGACGATATAACGCCGTTAAGAAAATGTAAAGATCGTTTAAAAACGTTAAATATGTACAATTTAAAGATAAGTGGGTGCGGGAATTTGATACCAGTATTACTGGAGTTAAACGAGTTAAGGCATTTAGACATTTCTGAAAAAGAAACTCCGAATGGTTTCGAGGTATTTGCACCCGCTAAGCCACAGATAACAGACTTTTTAAAAGCTCTAAATTGTATGCCTCATTTGATAACTCTAGATTTATCAGGTGAGTAACAATGAAATATTTGTGTATATAATAAGTAGGATGTTTTAATTAAAGTGTAACATTTTTTCTATTGATTATCATGTTTATATTATATACACAGGAAAAGATGATATAAATGCAAATCATTTAAGAAAGTTTATTGCGTCACATGTGCATTTAAGATTTCTGGGATTAGTACATTCTGACGCTTGTTATGACGAAAGTTTCGTAGATTCGACGCATGAAAATTATAGACTTGAGCTTGTTGTAAGTTGTTCCCATATTGGCATTAACTTAATTGCAAATGTTCTTACCCGGCATATAAAAAACAGTCTATATTTTACATTGTCACATATTTTTGGATTTGCAAGACATTGTTATTAATCATTTATTTTTATGTTTAGTTCATGTTTATGTGAGTGTGTTAAAATATATAATATGTAAAAAGAATCAATTTCCACCTGTAAATACAGAAAAAAATTTTTAAAGAAAACAATAAAAAAATAGTTACATTATTATTTGCTTTAGATCAGTGGTACAGCAACAGAATCACAAATTTTGGAAGCCCTTAGAAGGTATACGTACAGACCGATATATCTTCAAAAGTGTCTGTATAACTTATTTCGTTTGACACCAAACTTTCTTGAGCCACGAGTTGATGTGATAAAATTAGTGTTACCTGGAATGAGAGAGCACCCACAGGATTTTCGTGTGCAAATAGCAGCTACCGCTTGCATCTATAATCTCACAAAGGGTGAATTAGCTCTCATGATTCATCCGTCTATACTTAAACAAATAGTTGAATTAACGTTACTAGCAATGGAATCATATCCAACTAATCATCAACTTCAGAAAAATACACTACTGATTCTATGTAGTGATAGAATTTTACAAGATGTGTCATTTGACAAGTATAGGTAGCTATATAAAAATGTATAAATTTAATAAAATTATAATGTCTCTTAATTACGTATTCATAATTTGTAAAAATGTAAAATCTTGAATTCCACAGATGTGCAAGATTAGTTATGAATTGCTTGTCGACATTTGATGATCCTTCCACGAATCGTATGTCTGTGGCAATTTGCTCAATATTAGCAGCAAAAATATCAACTGTGGAAACCTCTATGCTTGGTGCACAACCACAATATATGTTGAAGTTACTTGCAATGGTTAGATCTAAAGTCGAATCCAAATTAGTAGATATTACAATGAAATTTACATTAAGTGCTTTATGGAATCTAACGGATGAAAGTGCTATTACATGCAAAGTGTTTCTTGATGAAGGTGGAATGGAATTATTTCTTGAAGTACTAGACTGCTTCCAAGGAGAATCCAGTGTAGAAACTAAGGTACTTGGTCTGCTAAACAATATTGCAGAGGTTTGTATTGGAAACTTTTAATATCGTGCATCAATTATCAGATATATCTATATAAGTAGTATTATTACGTGTACACACTAATATATTTATTTGTTAATATTATTAAGGCTATTTATTCTTTGTGTTATAAATTTCAGGTGGTTCATTTGAGACCACGACTTATGCAACCTCGCTTTATAAAAATGCTTTCTATGCTACTCGATTCTGAGCATATCGATGTATCTTATTTCGCGGCTGGTATCGCTGCTCATCTGCTCAGTGATGGTCCTCAAGCTTGGTATAGTATGCCATCGCAACCGAGTAGAGAGCAATTGTTAGATCAGTTGGTACATGCTGTAACTCATTGGCAAACACCACAAGGAGAGATGGTTGCTTATCGTAGCTTTCAACCGTTTTTCCCATTGTTACGTTGTACAGATGTATATCCTGTTCAGCTCTGGGCAGTATGGGCGATTCATCATGTATGTACAAAAAATCGTAAGTTTTAAAACAATATCATTTTATAATACAAACTTTACTAAAGTGTAAAACTTGATCTAATAAAATACAAAACTTGAAATAAAAGATAACTATGTTGCTTAAGTATAGCAATTAAAAAAAAAAAAAAAAACAAAAAAACAAGTTAATTTTGATATAATTATTGTGAGTGTAAGTGTTATTATTTGTCATAATAATATAATATGCTCATATTTTAGCAAAACGTTACTGCGTAATGTTAATCAGAGAGGGTGGTGTAGAAACCTTAAAACAACTGGAAAAAACACATACGGAATATACAACACAACCAAATTTGCAAATTTTATGCCAATCAATTCTGGAAACTCTCAAGTTAAATTCTTAACAAAAGCTGTTGTTTTCTAATTTGAAAGTCAAATACCGGTATACTAGTCAATGTTTACCTTAGTGCAACACATTCTTATCCTATTCTTTAGAACAAATAAATATATAAAAATTATATGGCCATGAAATGTTTATCACAAAAACAGACTGCAATCAAATTCACAAAAAATAGGTCCAAAATATTTTATAATTGTGCAATTGTGAGCTAATGAAACTAAAATCAGTAGATCTGAATTGAAGATCTTTTACTTGAAAAATATATATCTTTCTCTGTTCAACAGAGTGTATTGTTATATGCAGAATTAACTTTTGGAAAAACATTCAAATTATTTAGCAAGAGATGTATGGAATAAAGTAATAAATATAATGAAATTTACTGCCTTAATATAAATTGTATAGCTCGTAATGATGTATAATGTGTAGAGATATAAAGAAATTTTGACGAAAAGAATGTGTACGCGTGTGTGTGATTTTACTTTTTGAGAAGGAAAGGTATATATGTGTGCTTATTTATCCTTTTCTATAAAAACTTTCTGTACTATTAACACTTATTATTCATTTTTAATTTGAAATTTATACTTATTACATTTCGAAGTTTTATTTTGTAATTTTTCAGTTTTACATTGTAAATATTGTACAACATTGCAGAATAATCAAGTGCAGCAATAATGTAAGAATTCTAATTTTTTACGTTCCTTTTCGTATATATTTATATTGATTCAGTGAGATATCCAATATTTTCGCTAAAGTATTCATTTTAGTATATTGTTAAATGTTCCATGTTTCAATGTTCAATGATAGTAAGTTACATAATTTAATGAGTTATAATTGATGATCATAAGAAAGAATATCAAGAAGCATACTCGCTTTTTTTGTGAAAGTGAATTTCTAACAACAAGAACACGCAGAGTTAGAAAATTTGTTGTAATATGCATCGCAGCTTTTGCAGTTTATTTAAGAAACCGCAAACGCGTTAAAATTTATATTTCTAGTCTGTTATTTTAATTTGAACAAAAAATCGAAGTAATTATAATTAATCTTACAACCATTAATTGTAAATAACACAATCAATATAAAAAACTTTAATAATTAATTTGTTAATAATTAATTTTTGCTGCAGTTTGTCTGCAATTATCTTATGAAAAGGTACTTTAACGGCTACTTGAATAACTTGTCAGATGTAGCACATGTTAATGTTATCAATAGACAAATAAAATTATATAGTTTGAGTTGTGTAAAAGTTATTTCTGAATATTATAACATCTAAGTAGGATGCTAGGTATACTGTGGAATTTTAAATTGAGACTTTAAATTAGGTATACATATGTATATACATTCTAAACGACGCTAGAAATCTAAAACAGGTACCATGATTCAGTAAAGTAACAGGAATTATATACATATACGTGTATATAAATGTTAATTAATTTTGTTAAATACAATACGTGTCATATATTTCAATACTTCAAAAATTCAGATCTATTTTGTTATTAATTATTATACTTCAGAGTCTCCCATTATTCTCTCTACACACATATATATCAATAAAAATACTTTCAAAAATTATTTACGCATTTTTTACACGCCTTCGGAAATTCTGCAAAATTCAGAGTTTTTAAAAAGAGAAACATATTAATATTTAAATCACATCTGTTATCACTATTACAAATTTTATATAAACAAAATTTATTCTTCTGATATCATTACATGTTGATACTTAAATAATTGTAAATGTCAATTTGGACAAAACGTTAATAAATATGCTATATATCAGCCTCTCATTCTAATGTCTTTTTTTTCTAGAACTTTCTTAAATGACATCTGACCCTATTTCCATCAATAAAAATACCGGAGTATTTACAAGGTTCAAACAAAAAATAGACGTGTATTAAAAAATCCGTAGTTTTTATCTCATGTGTATAGAATTACGTAAACTTTCAAAATAAGCCGAAAAGATTATATCTTTATTCACCATCCAGTCATTTTACATTCATATATTACATATATACTTTTTTAATATTTTCTTTTTTTTTTTTTCCTTAATGAAATGTAAAAGTGTTCATGAAATTTGTATCATTATCACTCAATTGATGCTGATGCTGTGCTGCACCTGCAAAATACTTAGCGACATGGAGCATTTACGAAATCTGCCTTGATCATGTTAATGTGTTGAAAGTTGGCTCTCTCCTCCTCTAACACCTTAGCACAGTGAATCAATGTTTCAAAAGACAGTTCACACACGCATTTTACATATTAATTAGTTAGCAATATGTTTAAGATAAAACTGAAGATGTATCGTTAGTATGGAGTAAATGAAAGTTGCACATGTATATATTTGCACATGTGTGTGACAAAATGTGTAGTGTGTACATAGTCAGTTTACTTGCACAATATCGAGAATAATAATTTATAAATTATCCGAGCGCGCAACTTTCACTTATCATGCGTACAAAATTCACTACAAATTATAGTTGTATGATATTATTCTATAAACATTCACGCTTTGTAGTTCAATCTTTTTCAGTTATTCTGACTTGTAATATTTCTTTGAAACTGATAGTACATGCACTTTTATATTAAAGCAACACTCTACAGCGACACGTTATATGTATAATGTTATATAATTAAAAAATAAATTTATTCACAAATGTTACATTAATATTACTCATAAGTCGAGAAGTATTATTTATAGTCAATATTATGCATTACTACACTAATCTGTTTCAAGTATCAGCCTTAACACATTGATATTTATTTGTATATAAATATTTCTATATTTATAATTATAGATAAAAAATTAAATCAATATTAAAATACAAACAACTTATGTACATAAAGTTAGTCATGAATTCTTTGTTGTATCGAAATTAACAGAATGCTGTTTTAATTTTTTTTTTTTTCAAGAAATATAAAGTAAAAAATTATCCCAAAAATGTGAGACTTTAAGGCGGATACAACTTATTTTACAGTTTTTCACAACTTTTATCAAGTTTAGTATAGTGTTCTGATGTTATTTCAATATTAAAAAAAAATATATCAATTGAACTACAAAAGTGAATGATCGCTGTTCTACATTTGTAGTTTTATATGATAGCTATTAAATCAAATATGTTCCCGTCTGTTCCAATCTTTTTTTTCTTTTGACATGATGTTTTTCTTTCTCTTTTTTTTCTCTTCGTATCAGTTTATTTTTTCTGTGGAAATATAAGAATTTACTTAAATATCTCAACTGCTTTTTCCAATGCAATTCATGATGATACATGTTTGTAAGCTTTTTGTGAATTGAACCAATTTTCCACAAAAACTTACAATTTGTAACATATATTCCACTAGGCCATATATCCTCATATTTTCAATTTAGAAAATATTATTAAATAAGCACACCATGTTCATTGGTTTTTTAGAATTAGCAAAAATATTTAGAAAATAAAAAAAACAAACATTACGATTAGATCAAGATGCTTTTCATAACTTCAATGTAATTTCATGTATAATTTTTTAAATAATATATAGTTTTATTATGGCCAAGTGTGTATCAGTACTAATGTATCTAAATGTTTCACTTATGTTCTCAATGATTATACCAAATAAACAACCATTATTTTTTTCACAATTTTAATTTTGTTTTATATATCAAGTTTGATCGTATAGATACATCAGATTAATATTACTAAGAGAGGTAAGCAATCAGTATTACCAAATAATTTTAACGATTACATTATATTAAAGAATGACCAGTAAATTACAGTAGACTCCCATATATGTTCCGCGTTACAAAACTTATATACTAAATACAAAATTTGGTAAATATATTCTAATTACAAATGTTGCCAGAGTACGCCATCTCTATGCAGTGACTTAAAACAATCGAAATACAAAATGAACATAAATTTTATGTGTACAGAAAGATTTAAAGATATAAAATTTATCTTGTACATCCAAATCCACATTTTATGATTCTATGTTATACGGGAATTTACTGTATAATTTCTTTCTCTTTTCTTGTTTTTATGGTAGAATATATTATTCTTTTTAAACAAAAAAATTATTTTATTTTTTTCTATCTGACACAAAACTTATAAATGAGAAATAAATGGCTGCTTATGTACATAGCAACTTTGATATCTGTATATCTAAATACATCAATGTCTGTTAATACTATGTTAATAATACTTGCTATTAGAATTTAAGAACTTCTGGTCATTCCTTAAATTATACTAAGCGCACAACGTTTGAGTTGTTCAAAGAAATTTTCTTTTTCTGAATACTTCTTTAACACATGCTAATAATATGATTTTCAAATAATCTCAAGGCTATTGAAGAACTTTCTTTGAGCAAGAAATAGGAATCAGGACATATAATACATAATTTGTAGAAAACCTTACCTTGACACTTGTAGAACAATGTTGTACCATATTTTAAAATAGTCAATATGGCATGTAGTAACCACGTCTGTAACTCCTGCAAAACATATAAAATAACGAAAACTTATAAAACCAAGATAATTTTTCTCAAACAAATGGGATGTTATAATAAAAACTATTATATATATTAATTAAAATATATAGCAAGACTAAAGTTACTAATCATTACCTTGGTCGTCTTGTAGGTCTATATCCAAAATATGCACTACCGCGAATAATTCCTCTGGCCATACCTCGATAGCCTCTTGCACCTCTGGGACCCCTGTAAAAAACAGAATTGAAAAATAAAATGTCAATATCAGATTTAAAATAATTTATAGATGTGTGTTTACATAATATCAAATTCTTTATGTAAACTAGAAGAGAATTTACCTATTTGTCATAGAGAAGCCAGGTTTGTTAGTTCTTTTGGGCATTACTTTAATTTGACGTCCTCTAAACATAGATTCATCCATGGCCATTGCAGTTTGTACAGAGTCACGCTCAGCAAACTCAATGTAAGCAAAACCTTTAGGATGACCATCAAATTTATTACACAAAATTGTTACTCTATTAACACTTCCACAACCGTGAAAATGTTGCTCTAATTCTTCTGCTGTTGCTGCATAATCTACCTGTATAAAAAAAAAAAAACAAATATTAAAATAAATACCCATATAGCACCCTATCTAATTTTAAAATATTGCAAAAAAACACCAAATATTAAGTTATCAGAACTACCACATGCTGCTAACATATATATATATATGTATATATATATACATTATACATATATATTATGTATATATATATACATATATACATACATATATACATATATGAGTAATATATTAAAGCTTAGTAATATTTTAAATTCTCTTACGTTGCCAACATAAATAGATCGATTATCAACTTCCATTTTATCTTCCAAAGACATATTTAATGGGCTTGCTAAAATTGAAATGTGTGATGAGAAATAGACAGCATTATTCTTAAAATGCATTTATATATAAATTATCTGATTTTAATATTTTATACAATTTATATATCTTTTATTTTCATATAAAATAGACTTGTAAACTTACTGATACCAGGAGGACTACCCATATTCATCTGTTTATCTACTTCAGACTGAAGTTGCTTCAATTTTTCTGCTTCTTCTTCCATTTCTCTTACTCGTGCTTTTATCGCTTCTAATTCCTAAATTATATACAATTTTTTATTGAAAATATTATATAATCCAAATATCTGTTAATGTATGTAATGTAAAATTAGTATTATATTTACTTACAGGATCGTCTACATTTGCTTCTCCTAGATCACGTTTTACTCCGTCACACTGCATAATAGTGTCTCCATCTTGACCATTCTCGAGACCATCAAGACCATCAATGTGGTCACTAGCTAAAAGATCTGATTCAGACATTTCTGAAAATTGCAATAAACTTAGCAAAACAAAAACTTAAAGTCTAAAGAATAAAGCATGTAAGAATAAAATGCCAATCAATGTGTAAAAACATGCAAATTATAAAAATAATTACATGTACATATATTATATAGTCGGATAGTAAAGAGAAATACAGTTTATACAAATTCATAAAATATAGTTTTAATTCACACTTTACAATCTAACTCTGATGTTTTCTTTACAATTTGATATGAGATTCTACATATAATAACATACAAATAAGAAAAAACTTTATACAACGTAAGTATTAAGTGTTCTCTTTACAAATTACAAGACAAAATCAAATTCTTTTAGATAAAACTCAAAATAAGCATAATACGTGTGTAGATAGCCTAAATTACATATATTTGAAAATTAAAGTAATTCAAATAAATAGAGGCAAACTAACATAAGCGAGGAATCAATTCGACAAGCAAACTTAACATGAAGTGTACGTGCATTGAACTTGTCTATAGATATGTATATTCTTCAAAGACTGTATATACGAAGGTTACATTATATCAATAACAGCAAATATATCAACCTCGCGGAATATTATAATTAACGTACCAGTATATTATAAGATGTCCCTGATATTCAAATATCGTATTAAAGTAATTACTCGTCTTGTACTACTCTACTACCGATTATCCCTCGACAAAATCGGCAAACGAGAGATAATGAGTGACGCGACCACTACACCTAGAGCGAATTCAAAGGTAGCTTCATTCAAGGCTGATTTTGAACGACACGTACGTTGTACAATTGATACTTGATACATAAAATGGTTGAATGTCTTCCAATAAATTTTTAGTATTCTTTTACACTATGATCATGAGAACCAATCATAGGTTTGTTTGCTTTTCCCTGAACTGGCTGCACTAGTTCACAGCAAAGAGAAGACTTTCAGCGCCAAGTTGTACTTTGCGTGGAACTCATGAACTACGAAACGAGTTCCAATTTCAGGCGCATACGATACAAATGTATCTCGGTTAGAGTCCGTGCTAGATCCGCTTTCATTCGGTTTGAATCCGTGCTACATCCACTTTACTGTCGATAAGTAGAACTGCCAACCATCGAGAGCATCGGTGATATGGAGGCACGCACACAAACGAAACCGTGTTCGTGTGCGTGACGTCCAACGACATGAAGTGGAACCCAGCGCTGAAAGTAGCGGCTGGAAACCGTTGTAAAAAAAACAACAAAGGCATGGTCGCTCTCAGTCTTCTCTCTGGTGCAGACGTAGGGTGCTTTCCGACTACGTACACAGACGACACTGTGTACGCAGTTGGAAAGCACCCATAATAAATTTTGATGAATTAAAAGATTATGTCAAGATATAATAATAATTGTAAAGTTTTGTTACGTCAAGACGTGATAAAAATTTGACGACTTAAAAATATATGCTCTCAGTACTAGCCTCAGCTGCTTGATCTTCCTCGACCACTTGGACTCGTGCAAATGGAACAAAAGAGAATGGCCGCGTTCAGCAGAACTCAGCGCTTAGTAAGCGCTTTACGCTTATTGTCTGTGATTGGTCTCTTCTTGTAAATCCGCTGGAAATATGAAAGTATATTCCAATGACAAGCAATAAGCGTAAAGCGCTTACTAAGCGCTGAGTTCTGCTGAACGCGGCCAATCGCATGTTGTGCTTTACCCGCGCATTTCAATATCGTTCAAACTCAGGCAATCACGAGTAAGTTCCACTTGGCGCAACAATCGCGAGCGTAGGTCGAGTTTACAATATTCTGTTGCATTGGTCACTTTACCAGTCATAACCAATGCGATTGGACAATGTGGACGCGACTTACGGCTTGCAATTGGCGCAAGCGACAACAAACACTGAAACTTCCTCTGTAACCGACGCGCAACTCGAAGCGGACTTCTATCATTCAAATAAGGTAGTTTTCACTATTTTTGTCATTTTTCACGCAACTGTTCGTGATATGCATGTACCACAAAGTGTCGGACGTTCGAAACAACAAGTATTTGGTACCGCACACGCGTCGAAAACGATGCAAGGCTGTCAAAGTGTTTCGCGGCAGTAGCATTTCCAAGAACCCGGTAGAGCACTTCCAAGAACACGGTAGAGCATTTCCAAGAATGGCCAGCGCAAGTACGTTTCTTTTCTAATTGTTTCGTTATTTCTTCGCGTTTGTTGCTATCTAGCGCGCGAATATCGGTAGTTCGCGAAAATTAATACATGTCGCAAAGTGACGGGTGTACGCATTGATAAGTTGTATCGCAAGTAGAGCTTGCCGTCCGTCCTCTTTTTTCCCTGAACACCGTCTTTTTCTTGGAATGCCGAAGACGGGTGGATTTTCCAAAGACGTCCGCGGTGATTTATGCTCGTCCGGTGTTTTAGGGAATCTTGTTGGTAAATAATTTTACTTTGTTTCTCTCGCGTTACTCTGAGGTTGGATAGCTATCCGTCCTCTTTTTTTTCCCGGACATTTGATGGCAACCCTAATCGCAAGTGATAGTGAAGCATTACAATCAATTATGGCGCGGCCATTTTTTTTGTCAGTAATATTACGAATTCGTATTACGTCTTGACTATGAATTCAATTCACATATTGAAAATTTATACTCTTTTTATAAACGTTTTGTATATTATAGGTTTTATATAGTAGAGAAACAAAAAGTTACATATACATATAAATGTATACATATTGAATTAATTGTAATAAATATGTTTACATATTTTTTACAGAGTCCAGAATTAGAAGGCAGTGTAGGACATATCAAACAGTGTGTACAATTTGTAAACAAGAAAATGCATTATAAATGTAGAATTACTTGCAATTGAAAAAGTGTGAACCATGGCTTTTACCTGACTTATTTCTTACAATTGGAGCTTGATTCTGGGAAGAAGGTACGTTTACATTTATTAATTTTGATAATCAAGTTTTTAGTTGTTTATATTTATGTAGATTTTTCTATTAGCTGGCTGAAAGAAGAAAAGTGCAACAAGTGCAATGATCTGATTTCAAACGATACTGTGGATCTTTTAAGAGGAAGAGAATCTTAAATCGGTAAGCTGAAAACAAATTTTCTGCGATTGTAGTTCACGGTTTACGACAATGGATATTTATTGATGAATAAACGCGACGAACGTTCGAATCCGCAGCAACTATTAGCCGCACTAGTGTATGACACTAATGTTTTAGATTTTAAAGGACTCTAAAATGACGGTCGTTAAACCGGGAATGACTTCCGATCAAAAGAAGGTGGAAATTTGTTCGCGAGATAAATCAGAGACATTGCTTAGTAAGCGTAACAATAAATATAAATTTGAGTATAAATTTTACTATTAAAGCAATATCGATTAGATCTAAAATGAGAAGAATAGAAATTTAAAAGTTTGTTAACATGTTAAAATATTCTGCAACATAATATTACCACGTTGTTTATGTTAAACATTTATAAAATATGGAATGGCCATTAAATATAAAATTAAATATGAAATTTCCTCTTTTATGCTTTTTCAGAACGCTGGAAATTGAAACATATGAATAATTTAATAGAATTACACAATAAGACGCCTATATGGAATGATGACACAATCATATGTGCTAAACTTTCATGGACGAGTAATTTAGGCATCTGTAAAAAATTTTCAAGTTCATGATGGTAAGACAATGATGGGAATATTTAAATATTTCTATTTT